GTTTGGTAATATCTAAGCGGTTTTCACCAGTTTGTTTCCTATATGCTCTACCACATTTACGGGTGTATAAGGAGTTCTGGTAGCTTAGTGGTTACATACTGTGAACCTTAAGGTCAGCAGTTCGAAACTACCAGGTGCTCCACAGGAGAAAGATGAGTCTTTCTGCTCCTGTAAATATTTACAGCCACAGAAACCCTGTACAGGATCGCTATAGGTCAAAACTGACTCGATGGCACTTAACAACAACAAAATACAGTAAATGTAAATGTATGTACAAAAATCTTTTGTCAAACTCTTACACATTTGTGGGTATATTCTCACTCTCCTTCTCATAGCCATTCAACCTTTGTATATGTCTGTGTATCTACCTGTAAAATTATTTTTGCAGGGTTGTGTATATAATAATATTTATCTCTAACCACCACTCATCTGTCCATTTGTCGTACTGTGGAATATTGTGAGTTGTTGTGATTCTGAAATCTATGCCACCAATATTTAAGTACCAGCAGGGTCACCCATGGTGGACAGGTTTCAGATGAGCTTCCAGATGAAGACAGACTAGGGAAAAAAGTGACAAAATACCTCCAAATTTTTAGTTACTGAAAATCTTGTGAATAGCAGAGAAACACTGTCAGATATAGTGCAGAAAAATGAGCCCCTCAGGTAGGAAGACACTCAAAATACGAAGGGGAAGAGTTGCCTCCTCAAAGTAGAGTTGACTGTGATGACACGAATGTAGTAAAGCCCATGGGAGAAAAGTCTGTGGGACCTTCATTTGCTGATGGGACACAACTCAAAATGAAGAGAAACACTGAAAATCAGAATATGGAAGGTACAAAGTATGAATCTGGGAAAATTGGCTATTGTCAAAAATGAAATGAAACACATAAACATCAATATCTTAGGCATTATTGAGCTGAAATGGACTGGTATTGGCCATTTTGAATCTGATGACCACATGGTTTACTATGCCAGCTATGACAATTGAAGAGGTATGGTGTTGAATTCATTGTCAAAAGAACATAGCCAGATCAATCATGAGGTACAATGCTGTCTGTGATAGGATAATATACATGTGCTACAGGGAAGCCCAGTTAAAACCTATTATTCAAGATTATGAACCAACCACTAAATCCAGTGAGAATGAAATAGAAGAATTCTACCAACTTTTTCATTCTGAAATTGATCAAACCTGCAATCAAAATGTATTGATCATTACTAGTGATTGGAATGTAAAGGTTGGGAGCAAAGAGGAAGGATCAGTAATTTGAAAAATAGCCTTGGTGATAGAAATGATTCTGGAGATTGCATGATAGAATTCTGCAAAAGCAATGATTTGTTCATTTCAAATACTTTCTTTAGACAGCATAAGAGATGACTATACACATGAACCTCTCCAGATGGAATACATAGAAACCAAATTGACTACATTTGTAAAAAAAAAAGATGATGTAAAAGCTCCATGTCATCAGTGAAAACAAGGCCTGTGGCAGACTGTGGAACAGACCATCAATTACTCATGTGAAAATTAAAGCTGAAGCTGAAGAAAATGAAAATGAGTCCACGAAAGCCAAAATATGACCTTGAATATACCCCTCCTGAGTTTACAGATCATCTGAAGAACAGATTTGATACATTAAACACTAAAGAATGAAGACCAGAAGAGTTGTGGGATGACATCAAGAACATCATACATGAAGAAAGCAAAAGGCATTAAGAAGACAAGAAAGAAGGAAAATGTCAAAATGGATGTCAGAAGAGACACTGAAACTTGTTCTCCAGCATAGAGATGCTAAAGCAAATGGAAGAAATTAGGAGGTCTAAGAGCTAAACAGAAAATTTCAAAGATCAGCTCGAGAAAATAAAGGCAAATATGACAACAAAATGTGCAAAGATCTAGCATCAGAAAGTCAAAAAGGAAGATCACTCTCAAGTTGGAGGAACTGAAGAAAAAATTCAAGCCTCAACTTTCATTATTAAAAGATTCTCAGGGCAAATAACTGAATCATACAGAAACCCTATACAGGATCACTATGGGTCAGGACTGACTTAA